ATGAACAGACAACCAGAACATGGATCGCATTTGGCTTCAAACGCCGCATCGTTCGAATTGAACGGGATACCAGCAAGCCAATGACGCGATCTGCCACCGTCGGTCGAAAGTGACAGTTATTTTGGTTGTATATTTGGTCGACCAGGGGATGAGGGCCTTGGAGACTCATGATGGTCTCATCGCTGAGCTCGTATCGTCCTAGTCCATACTGATCCCTGAGCTCAGCGATCCAATCGTAGGACTTCTGCTTATGGGGTAATAAGCTTTGTCTGATGGGGATCAGGCGCACGCTGACCTCGTCATAGTAATGATCACGGAGGAAGTCAATCAATGCAGGGCTCTCCTCCGGGAAAGACCGCGTCTCGCCAAGGACGCGGATGAATTGCCAGGCCAGTACTTCCAACACTGCGGGGTTGGGTGGCTGCGCACCCGTGTACTCTGCTGTGAGAGTTGTACCCGGGCAGGAGATGACATAGCCGTGCATTGCACCCCTATCCATGTCAACGATACCGTAGGATTGGCCATTGGCCCCCTGCCATAACAAGTGTTGCAAGGTGCTGTCACTGAGCACCAAAAAGGGCTTCGGCGTTGTCGGTGTAGCTGCCATGCCCAATTGCCAGTGCTCTTTGAGCACCGCGCCCGTACTAGGCTGAGGGGAATTAAGGTAGTGAAGAAATGCGCAGGGATGCTAGAGCTGCTGCCTAGGGCTGTGCGTGCTGTAGTGTCCTGAAATCAAACTCTGAGCCCTCTGCCTTGTGTGATGTTTTGTTTGGTGCCGTCAGTGATCTTGAACCCGGCGGCGCATCAGGAAAGCTGCAGCTGTATGCACGCTGAGGCAGCGATGCAAAGTCAGCTTTACTTGTGCGAGGGGGCAGGGGCACTGGTCCGGCCATGCCAGAAGATCGGCTTCAGCAGAGGCAGCCTGAGGGTATCGTCGGACCTTAGAGGCGATATGCTGGCATCGGTAGTAGTAGACATGAGTGATCCGTTGTGTCTCTCGCAGGCATAAGAGCAGTATGCATCTGCAGTCATTTCAGGTCACCGAGCCCTCCAGGGAAGGTGTCGGCATCTGAGGCTGTTGGTCAAAATTGGCAAAGCTAATGGACGTGCTTCCGTCCGGCTCAGAGAGGGCAATCAGCAGCCTCCGTAGCTTGAGCTGAAAGCCTGCCGGGTAGTGCCCCCATGCCAGCTCACTGCTATACATCAGCTGTGCTGCCGTTGAAAGCTAGAGGAGCTGGTGGCTGTGCGACGCACCTCGAAACCTGAGTACTTCAAGTACAGAGCGGAATTCGCGGAGAGCTTGTCCGCATCTCGAATGTGATAAGTACCGAGTATGAGTCTGCGTCCTGTCCATGGCAGTACTAGGTGTCGTCGTGAGGCATCAAAACTAAGGTAGGGCAAGGTCACGGGGAGAACTTGTCCTCTGGGTCCGACGGAGTCCAACAGGTAATCCCCGGCGTTGTCCTCCACAAAGAGGTGGCCGCCCTCGAAGTTGGAGAGAGGGATCAGGAGGTTGTTCACCCCTTTTCGATTGTGGTCGGTGTGCAATCCAGAGGCCATGTTGCGTGCCAGGAATAGAGTCGTGCGTGGATGGCGTCCGGCCATGGTGTGCACGACCGTGTTGAGGAGGCACGTCGCCATCGGAAAACGATGCGTTTGTGTCCTCAGACCGGCCATTGGCCCCTGCTGGTATGCTCCTAATGTGACAATTTGCTGGTCGATAGACTGTGGCAGTGCCACCGATGCATTGCGACAGGCAGAGGTGGTAGGCATAGTGTCCAGCAGGGCATCCAGTTGCTCGAAGGTGACCCACCTGCGATGTAGATAGTCCGCCGCAGCCTGTTCTACTGCACATAGAGTGAATTTGTGCTCCATTTCGTCCATGTCAGGAGGGAGATGTAGGCATATGCCTGGCGCTTGCGCCTGTGGTGCGTATAGACTCAGGGCGGAGCAGACTGAGCCTTGTCGTTCCTCCTCCTGTGCCGCTTCCTCTTCAGTCGTCAGGAAGGCCGACCGAAGGGTGCGCTGAACTGTTGGCATCGTGAGTGTCGGGCGACGACACTTTCGTGCCGGTTCAGGGGCCTCCTCGTCAGACCCGTCCAGATCCATGGGGATACATCCCGAGCTACTACGGAGCCGCCACATCGCTAGTGGCAGCTGTTTGGAGATGTCGGGGCCTGGGCCGTCCAGACCAGCGATCTGGGTCTGAGAGCCGTCAAGTGTGATCAGGAACAGTGGTGTTAAAGGATGGTAGCCTAGTATCCGGGTGTCAGATCCCAGCTGGTTCGGCACTGATGACTAAAGCAGCACACTCACACCGACGCGCTGTTTCAATCCGAACTGCATCCTGTGTGGCAGCGCCGTCTGAAAAGAAAAGAGCCGTGTTGATTAACAGCGGCGTGTTAGCCTGCAGGCTCATGGAGAAAGAAAGAAAGAGTTGAATACCGGCCGATACAGCGCTAGTACGACATTGTCGCCATCAGGATGACATTGGCGGACATTGTCCCAGCTGCGTTAGGGCGGTGCGGGTCTCGGGAACGGGCACTCTTCCAGGAATCGATCTGGGTAGGCCTGCATATCCCCCGCGACTCCGCGCAGCAAGTCCGCGGCAGTGTGAAGGCTGCGAGTCCAATCCTCGATGGTGGATTTTCGAGATCCTGGTTTGGGAGTCCTTGCTAGATCTCGAGCCACAAAAGCATCCCCAGACTGAAGCATGTGGCCCTTGGTATCGAAAGGTACATCGCTGCCTCCTGAGGCTGCCATCGCTCGGAATCTGGCGTTCGGGTGTCTCCTGCTGCGGATTCCCTGACCCTATGTCAGCTTGTGCAGCTTCCATGGCGGGTCTGGTCGCAGGAGAGGTGGGAGATGGAGGCGACACCTGTGTCAGGGCAGAGTGGGCCTTGCCCCCGCTTTGGGATGCTGGAGTTGTCATTGACACCGCCTCCTCCTTCTGCTCGATTGGCTTATTCGGAGGCGGAGGAGGGGGTTTGTCCAGCACCAAGTAGCCGTCCTGGTTGGAGTAGGATTCCCAGGGAAAGATCTCTTGGTATACATACCGGAGATGGCGGCCGCATGTCCTCAATTCCGTAGAAAGGTAGAACTTGGCCCAAACAGCAGACTTTTCCCAGGATCCAAGGCCGGGTGAGAGATCTGACGGATCTGCCTTTTCCGGGACCAGTGAGCCGTTGTTGTTGCCAAACTTGTCATCTGATCTGGCAAAGGTGGCGGTATCCGTCCGGAGCTCCCCGTTTGCTCGCCACAGGCCAGCGTGTACAGTGACTGCGGGGTTGAAGGCAGAATCTGTCCAGGAGCCAGCAGGGAAGGGGGAGTTGGGATAGATGGGCTGTGGCCATTGGTCCCGCTCCAGCCACAGTTGCAATTCTCGCTTCATGTGGCTAGGAATGCCCCTGCTGACTCCGTCATTGACGCCGCTGCCCTTGCGTCGCTTGGTAGGCTCCTCATCCGACAGGAACTGCTTGAAGATCGTTTGGCTCAGCCGGTAGAAGTCCCCAATCGCCGTCCGGACCGGGGCGGGAGGAGCCTCCAGGGTCGGTGGCCGATGTAGATCTCCGCCATATCCCTTGGCACCATAGCCGTTGCTCAAGGGGTAGATGGCCTCGCCAGAGCAGCCGCCATAGTCAATTAGCACGAAACTGGCCGGTTGGTGCCGGACCATGATGTTGTCCGCGTGCACGTCCCCATGAACGATTTGAGCTGAGTGCAGCATCTGCAGTGCAGCCGCGATATCGAATTTTAGTCGCTGGACTGTGTCCCCGGTGAGAGGACGGGGAGCTGACCAAAGGCGCGGCATGAGTGCCCGCGGGCCGTCTGCCGCGTAGATGGTGTTGATCACGGAGAGGGGCGGAAGTCTCGTAACACGATGCAATTCTTTTCGAAAGTCTGCCTCGTGCTCCGCCTTGACCTGTTTGATGACAAAGTTGGGGTCCTCATGGGACAGGTAGACTGTGCTCGTGTAGCCTCTTCCCACGGTCTTGCCGACCGTGCCCTTCAGGAGGCTAAGGCAGGCAGCCGACGTGGGTCCCGCCAGGGTGCAGGGGGTAGGGACTCGTTGCACGGTTTGTGCATGGTCCGTCATTGCTGCCACAATCGCCGTTGCCATGCGATGGGGGTCCTGGTCTAGGCCCAACCGGATATGAAGGCTGTCCAGGGCCGCAGTGTCAGGAGGAGCCGCCATGTGCGAAGCGGAGCGATAGAGTGCCGGGCCTTAACTTGATCCTTCTGTGTTTAGCCGCATGGAAGACGCGAGCACAGTGTGGAGGATCTGACAGCCCGCGATTTGCATTATCGATTAGCGGTCCTTTAAGTTGCGAAACTTTTTCCATCCTAGCAGCGTGGTGCAGGAGGTCATTGACCACCTTCAGGGTTAGGGCCGCTCATTGTGCGCACCCGAGACTCAGGAATGGCATTGTCGCTAATTGGGGATCTTATTCACCGTGTTTTGGCGCTTCTTCGGTGAGCGGGGTGGCGTAGGAGGGCGTTGACGGCCCGACGGTAATGATGTAGCGGTTGGCTCTTTAGTTTGCACGGTCCGCTCCTTGTCGTCTGAGGTTGCCGAGGTCGCAGCTGTCGTTGTAGGTTTGTCCAGGCCCAGCTCCCGGATTTTGTCCCATTGGGCATCGTAGTAGTCTAGATCAATGTGGCTCTGCAGCCCTGGCATGTTGGGCGGCAATGAGGCTGGGAGGGACTCAGAGTGCGATCTTGGCCAGTTGAAAGGCTGCGTGACATTAGATTAGACTCTGCTCAGCGCATGCCGTACAACGGCAGCCCGCTGCAATGATGTAGGCACGGTGCAAGGTCAGTTCTTTTTTTTTCCACAGGCGTGTTTGCCGGGTTGCTTGTCATTGTGCACAGGAGTGATACAGCGTATGGCTGACAGTGCACTCCAGGAACAAGGCAGATTCGAGCATTGCTCCTGTGAAAGTTAGAGATTGTCCTGATGAGCTAGGCCATATCCAGCTGCTGCCATTGGCACCACTCCCTTAGCCAGCTTTGCCCCTCGCCTTCCGAGCCAGGCCCCCAGGGGCCTTCTTTCCGAGGCGCTCTCCCTCATAGGAATCCAGGAGGGCCGCGATCAGCGAGGTGTACTGCGCAAGCGGGGAGTGGAGAACCGGCCGGAAGTCCAAAATGAGATGCGTCTTGAGAGCATTTTGTCGAGCCGAGCAGTGCGCGACCAGATGAACCACAGCCTCATGCGGCGATTCGCCGAAGTCCTCGATCAGCTTGATGAAGGCCTTGAACTGTGCGGTGTCAATGCCTGGTGGCTTTTGTTGAGACTGGGCTAGCTGGACGAGCATTGCTCCCGCTGTGAAGTGTGCACATGAACCCAGTGGGTGTGCTTTCCCCGGCGTGTGGCCTTTCTGCCACGCGGCCACGGCCTTGGCTAGGGCCTGTGCCAGGGGGGCGTCCGTGGGGAGCTTGTACACCAGCGAGGCTTGAAGTTGTAGTAGAGCAAGCTGTTCTTCATGTAGTAGAAAGCCTTGAGTGAGCTCGGCGTTGGAAAGGGCGTGCAGGGCTCTGCCTTGCCTCTGCTTGCCGCTGCCGGTCGTTTGGCGTCGAGCGTCGACACCAAAGGACTCAGACGGTTCGCCCATCAGTGAATCTGAAGCTAGGGGAGATGTGGTTCGACCACGTTTGTGGTCGGGGCTGTGGATCTTGTCAGCCATGCTGGGTCAGCCTGAAAAAGCTGCGGGTAAGCCCGCATGCTTAAAGCATGCTTGGCCTTGACGTTGGGGGGGCCATGCCCACCTATTGTGGGGTCCGGCCTTCCCACGCACAGGCACCCTAGTGGTGCACGCATTCCTAGACTGGGAGGGCCAGCACTCACCCCTTGAGGGTGAGTCAGAGTCACTCCTGTCTTCTCAAGAAAAGGAGGTAGCAATCTTCCAAAACATGTTTGCGTTCTGAGGCCGAGGCGAGGTGTGGGCTGGTGGCATCATCACCAACTTATAGCGCACCTCCATGCGGATGGATCCAGAAGGACCGGTAATGACCGGAGTATATTTCCGCTCCTACATGAAAAACCCCCGAAATGACGGAATATTGGTGCCACTGGCGGTCCTGTCCCCCCGTCCAAGAACGCAATGAGACTTGCCTGCGCAGGTCGAGCGGGGTGCGTCGTTTGGTGCCGTCCATCCATCGGGCAACTGTGACTGGCAGGATGTCTGGGACCCATGCCAGGGCGCGTTGGAACATGTGGTTGTACCATGCCATGCAGGCCTGCTGCAGTGTTCGACAGTCTGAGGAAAGAGGCAACAGCAGCGGCGTAAGGCCATCGTCTTCGCTTTCTGGCAGTCCATTAGTGCGTCCCTCCCAACGCACGGGTTGTAGGGCTCCGGTGTGATGCTCTAGCAGGCTCGTGACAAATTCAGAGGTGTCGTGTTGTCGGCCATCGAATCGCCATCTAGGCACCAGCGACCGAAGAGCAAAAAGGCTTGGGGGGTTTATGAGCCTAGTGTCCATTGGATCCGCCTCCGGGCTAATGCAATGTTCGACCAGTGGTCCCAGTTCCGCTATATTGGACGCAGGCTTGTATGGTCGCATTGACATAGCAGGTGTTGCCTGAGTTCATCATGTGCCGCATGCGTGAGTACAGGCCTGGCGGGAGATGTCCACCGGCGGCGCCCGTCGTCGCCGTGGTGACAGTGCTGGAAGCAGTGGAGATAGCAGACCGGTCCGCCGTCCCGAAGAAACCACTGAGGGACATTGTCACCGCGGTCTTTGGTTGAGGCCTGGAACATTGTTCCCGCATCTTGTCCGTTCCCTGCACCTTATGCCACCCGAGCAGGACCTGGAACAGAACTATGCACTGTTCTGGGTGCTTGCGTTTGTCATAGACCTGCAGTTTGCAAAAGGGACATGGGTGTCCTTTGATCATCTGCACTGTATAGGCCTGGCAAAGCTGGAGTGCCGCCGGACCGTCCCGCTGCCAGACCTGTGCGTGAGCCTGTCGTTGATGATTTTTCATCTTGGTATGGTCTGGGGTCCAGAATCCGCACAGGATGCACCTGTGCTTGAGTTCTTGAGCTTCCGGCCGGGCGGCTATGCTGCTAAGCTTGTCTTTTTGCGAACTCTGCACCGCAGCCCGAAGGGCCGCTAGGCCTCTGAGAGCTTGGCCTTGCAGCTGTTCCTCAGTGGTGAGAGATAGCTGGCGCAGTCGTTCCGGTTGCGTACAGGCTCCCGACAACAAATGGTCGCGCAAGCCCTTCCATTGATGGAAGGCCTTGTCGCATGCGGAGCAAACTGGTAGACCGTCCTTGGAGTGCCGACTACGATCAAAGGAGGGAGGAATGTACCTCTGCACGTGATCGCGATGCATCCTTGTGATGTGCATATGTAAGCCATGTGCAGAGACAAAGCCAGACGCACAGTGAGGACAGGCGTGTAACCGCTGCTGCGAGGCCTCGGTGCTGGCCGGAAGGTTTTCCACCTCTTGTAGCATGTCCTGTAGGTCCTGTATGACATGTCCCAGACACGCGACATCACCGTGCACTGCCGTATCGGAAAGGTTCGAGCCTGTTGCCGAGGCCGGCGCGGCAGGGCGCAATCTGGCCCACGGGCCCAGCTGCACCGTAGGTGCACTGGAAGTGGTCGTCAGCTGGACTGAGGTGGCAGCCTCGGGGGCAGGAATGTCGAGTCGTTTGCGCAGTCTTTTGAGTCGTGAAGCCATCCGAGCTTGGATTTTAGCCACCGGGTCCTGAATCGAATGCAGCTGATACAGGTCAGCTGTGGAGATGTGGCTGACGTGGACAGGCTGGTTAAGCACGGAGCGTAGCTTGTGCGCATACCAACCTCTGAGATGCCTGGCTGTCTCCTCCGTGAGGCCGACTTCAGGAAGTCCCGTGACCAGAGTGGCCCATACGGTGGTGAACCAAACCTTCAACCTGGCCATTGGCCCTGCAGTTCTGCGGTTGTAAACAAATCGCTTGACCTGCTGGAGCTTTTTGGCAGCCTCCGCTATACGGTAGCGCAGCGTCTGCATTTCAAAATTTCCATAGGAGATTTGAATGCCCAGGTACTTGATTTGTGTTTCAAGTTTGTAGGCGGGGAAGGACTTGTGTTTACCCAGTCTCCAGCGCCGCTGGAGTTTGCCGTCCTGATCGGGAAGCCAGCAGGTGTGCTTTTGGAGCGTGGCCTCGGCCTCTCTGCCACTGAGCTTGACTAGAATGGCACATTTGGTCGGATTGACGCGCAGACCTAGTTTCTCTACCTCCGACAAAAGTTGTAGGATCATTTTGTGAGCTGCGTCCACGTCCGCTTTGTTGCGGATTGTGCGATGCATGGTGAAGTCATCAGCGTACCCGGTGAAGTATCTGCGGACATTGTCCCAGCCAAATGTGCTTATCAGCCTGTGCAGGAGGCGGCCTGTTAGAACGGAAAACAACGTAGGGGCCAGCTTGCATCCTTGTTTGATGCCTGTGGTGGTTTCCACATCATGGTGAGCCCCTTGAGAATGGAGCCTGTACTTGGATCGATGATGCAGGCCGTGTATCAGTTTTTGTAGGGATGGATCCGCGCCTAGTTCATCAAGCAGAGATAAGATTTCGCTGCGGGAGACAGTATCGAATGCCTGTGACAGGTCGAGTGCAAAGGTGATGCCTCCGACGAGACCGACAGGACATTGTCCCCGCTGCTGATCCGCTCTGGTGAGATTCGCATTGCGACACAGCTGCCTAGCCTCCCTAAGGTGCTGTACCACGCTGCTCTGAGCGTCAGAAAGGCCCCGCCCCGGGAGGTACGCAAACTGAGGAAGAGGCTTCATGTACGGCAGCGTGAGAGGTTCCAGGAGCTCCTTAGCCGTTCCCGCCAGGCCTTTAGCATCCGGCCGGAGGATGCCCAGCGGCCTTAGCTGTGAAGGCTTTTCGGCCGGCTTACCCGGTTTGGGGATCAAGCAGAGATCCGCGCGAGTCAGATCATCGTCTAGTGGCTGGTCCTGCGTCAGACCAGAACAGTAATGTGAAAGCGCCTCGGATACCGGCTGTGCGCAGAGCTTCCAGGCTGCGGCCGGCGCTGCTCCTTTCGGAACTGCCTTACCAGGTTTAATCGAAGCAATATGTTTCGCCAACTTGGTCTGTGGCAGTAGGGGCAGAAGCCCCGCGTCAGAAGGAAGCGGTGGGTGCGCTGCAAAGACCTGGGCGGCGTACTTCCCCAACTCCGCAAGTTCATGTGCTGGGTTGAGCAGGAAACCGTTCGAATCCTTGAGTTGAGCTTTCAGGGCTGGTTTCCACGGTCGAAGATGCTTGAGAGTTTGATATGCTAGGTGTTGGTCTCCCTGATTGAGAGCCTGATCCACCTCAGCAAGGAACCTCTTGGTTTGGTCTTTGCGAGACTGCTTAACCGCCAGTTTGTGCTGGTCATATAGCAGCTGGCGGGCAGCTGCGTCTGTAGCTGATTCAGCACCGGAGTGAGCATTGCTCCCTCGCGCAGAGCGCCACATTCTTCTAGCAATGCGCGTCTCCGGACTTTCTGGCATTGCCACCGGGGTCTTAGGGAAGAACCTGGAGGTGGCCTCGCCAAGAAGGCGATCCCATGACGCCGGCTGCATATCCGGGGTAAGACGGGTTTTGACCCACTCAAGCATTTGCTGAGCTGGCAGCGTGTTGTCCCTTACAGCCGCTTGCAGGGCAGCAGCGTCAAACTGATGTGTCTGTATCTGAGGAGGCGGCAGATTCCAGTGCCGTACTGGCTTGACAGTCGCACTGATGGGCAGGTGCCCACTTTTCTTCCAGCTGCCCAGCGGAAAAGCCGCCAGCGGCGTGGAAGCCTTGGCAGTGCCTCCAGCTGACACCTCCCTCGTAAGCACAAAGTCAATTTGTGTGCGCGTATCCCCCTGTTGGTACGTAAATAGTGGCTGAGGTCGCCACGTATTGAGGGCCACCAAGCGATGACTCAACAGAAAGTTTGTGAGTTCCGGTTCATCAGGTCGCGGTTCCTGTGGGCTGATGAGCTCTGGACCCACCAGCCTGGGCTGCTTTTGCAAGGAGCTATTGAAATCACGTGCTATGATAAGCGTGTCTCTGTGTGGCACACGTTGCACACATCTGCCAAGAGCTTTTAGGACTTGTGCCCTGTCCTGACGATTGTTCTGCACCTGTTTGGCCGGTGACCAAACGTGTTGGTACACAGCAATCAGATGGATACGGGCCCCGTGCCAGTCAAACCTGACTTCCAGGGCTCTGCCTATGACATGCTCCTGCCAGCGCACACCTTTAGGTAGTATGTGTGGGGACAGGAAGACCATAACCCCATCCGCGCGGGTTGTCGAGGGCTCCTTGCGGGGCGGATTGGTCTTGTCGTCATTAGGCATTGCCTCTGCAGGTGGCTGTGTGTGGGCCTTGCCCCTGCGTTGTTTGCGTCTGGAGGCTTTCGGATCTGCAGCAGAGGCAGACGACATGCAGTACCAGCCTGCAACACTAAATTCGGCTGTAGCCTGCCAGTGGGTCTCCTGCAGCACAAAACCATCACAGGTGTGACGTGCCTCAGTGGAAAGCCATGATTTGACTTCCGACCATTGCTGCTGGCCGAGGTGGCCTGCATTCCAAGACAGTACTCGGAGTGGCCTGGTGGCCTGTCCTGCTCTAGACCGTGGTGCAAAAGACTGAGTGGAACCTGGCCGCGGTGGGCAGTTGCCCATGCGCCTTAGGAGAGCAGGGGTCATAACCTGACC